AGAATAACTTTTTCTTGTAAATTTAATTTTGATTTTATATCATCAATATAATTTTGTACGTCTACGATATCTATACAAAATCGGGTATAAAAAATTTCGAGATTTTTTAATTTTCCTAAATATTCTTTATAATTATCTCGAAGCGATTGAAGAACTGTAATATCAATCATTAATGATACATTGTCATTTCCTATAGTAGCAAAGAAATTTAATAATCGATCATCATCATAATTAAGTATTTCTTTTAGTAATCCAATTTCAATAGACATATTTCGTAGATTTGAAACCAATTTAATTATAGCCTGACGAACCATTTTTACGTATGCATGCTGTCTATGAAGTCGTTCAGTTGAACCTGTAGCTAACAAAATATAAATCCAAAAACTTGAAGAAGCAAGCAATGCTTTAATGAAATTAATATCATTTTTTTCTGTCTCTGGTAAGTTTTCATGTAATCTCGTCATTATATGAAAAACGACTTCTTCACAAAGCCTGTTACAAAAATAGTCAACATAAATTAAATGTTATTAATGTAAGAAAATAAGTAAAGAAATAGCAAAAGCAACTTGCCTGTTTCGAATACATAATTTACGTGCATTAGAGTTGCAAATCCTCATTATCTTTGATTGTAGCTTACCATCGATGTTTCTAACATCAGGGCCAAATTTTTCTTTTAGTATACGACAAAAGAATTCTACAACTTTTATTTGTTTTAATTTTCCAGCATCAGTAGCAGCACTAAATATTACATCATCCGAAAGAGATTTGATTTCTCTCTCGGCAATTTCAAACAACTCGTCGCATGTAATGTTGTATTTGGTAACAATATTATAAATTATTTCAAGATGGTAAAGGATTATATATGCAAAATTTTCATCATTGTATGCATTGTGCACCTTTTTGATATATGATAATATGGATTTGAACCATTGAGCGCAAATTTTGCCTACTTTTTCATCCATGAGACCTCCTTTTAAAAAACTACTGAATTGGATTGAAAATACCTGTAGCAAATCAGGATTTTGAGAAATAGAAATATATTCGAATGCTTGTAGCACAGAAGCTTTTTGCCATTTTAATCTAACATTATGAAGCAAATTGAATATCGCATCTTGGTTGTACTTGTTCCAAGGAATTCCCGTGCTACGCAACAAAATCAAAACTCTATCACGAAATATAGGAGCAAAATTGATGTCCATATCAATAGGTATCTCTTCAAGATGTTTATTTAATTCTTTAGCATTATCCATTGCTATAAAGTTACTTATGCATTCAAGTAAATATTGATTAAATTCATCATCTAGCTTTACACTAGGACGAAAAATTTTTTGCCATAAAAACGCGACTACACCAAGATCTTTACATAGTTTAATGAGAGCCTGTTTTTAAAATCAAGGCACAGACAATATGATAGTTAAAGACTATTCTTATACTTGATATTGCATAAAAAATCAGAAATCATAGTAAATCAATATGCTTACCTTGCAAATATTCACATAAGTCATCTCACGTTCTTCACTAATATTATCTATACATGGCTTGACAATTTTATAGAGATATTGTTGAAAATCATATACGTTATCTTTGGTATATACCGGCTTTTTAATCTTTTCGAGGAAGGTATAATTTGGATCTGCAAAAGGTGCGATTTTAAAAGCCCTCATCCATTCAAATTTTGTACAGTAAGTTGAGGCATGTTGTGCTAAAGTAGAGACAACTGGAGCCAACAATATAATAACATCATGAGGTAAATGATTTTCATTAACACCATTAAAAGCTTCTAAAAGTTTAACGGAAGGAAAATCTATTGAAAGCTTGAACACTTCATTTTCATTCATTATGTAACTCAATAGCACAAATAGAAATATCCGTTGCTCAACAGTACTATGATCATTAAGGCATGTGCATAAAAAGCGTATTGTCATTTTATTATTTAGTATAGCTGAATGTCTTTTGTTGATATCTTGATATTCTATGATTTTATCTTTTAGATTATTAAAAGTTATAGAATTATATATGATAAAAAGAAATGGATAATCCTCCTGAAAAACCATCAAACGCATATTGCTAATATTATTACATCTCCATATATCGTATTGATTTTCCTTAGAAATTAATTTATGCTCAGTTTCTTCAAAGGTCCAATCGCCTGTGATTACATCAGGATTTTCATCTTCATTTTGTGACCGTCTATTAGAAATCCATTTTAAACGCTTCTTAATGCCAGTTTCGGCACCTTTATAAATATGGTAACTATAATGTATATTTTCTTGTTGAAAAGCTGAAAGTGGTATTATAACAGGATCAGAATACCAGTATATTAAATTTTTTTTGCTTTGTTTTAGTTGTATAATTCCTTTTTTTGACATTCCCAATTCTTCAATGTTACCAATAACATATATTTTATATTTTTTAGCAATGCTTTGTGGTATTATTACGTGAAAGTGAGTGGTTACTACATTTTTATTCAGGGGTTTGGGTAGTAATTTCTGAACATGAATGTCAATTTGCGTTTGTTCAGTTTGTGGATATATATCAGTGTTTTTAGTGATTCTTTGACTATATTGTCTTACTAATGGTTGAGGATCCATGCACCAACTTTCCCGTGAGCCAGATCCAAAGGATCTATGACCATCAT